TGTACTCATCATTTGTTTCCATAAGTTTTTAATTTCAGACTTAATTTCTTTGGTAGTCAAGAAATTATTCAGAACTAGGTTGTTCAGTTTCCATGTTTTCGTGTGTTTTCAGGGTTGTTTCTTGAAATTAATCTTGAGTTTAATTCCATCATGGTCAGAGAAGATGCTGGGTACAATGCCCCATAAATTATGGTAACTTGTGTACTCATCATTTGTTTCCATAAGTTTTTAATTTCAGACTTAATTTCTTTGGTAGTCAAGAAATTATTCAGAACTAGGTTGTTCAGTTTCCATGTTTTCGTGTGTTTTCAGGGTTGTTTCTTGAAATTAATCTTGAGTTTAATTCCATCATGGTCAGAGAAGATGCTGGGTACAGTTTCTATGCCTTTGAATCTGTAAAGGCTTGATTTGTGTTCTATCATACAGTCAATCTTTGAAAAGCTTCCATGTGGGGGGTGAGAAAAAGGTATATTTTGTGGTCTTAGGGTGGAAAGTTCTATAGATATTTGTCAAGCCCATTTAATTTATAGTATCATTTAGGTCCTATTTCTCTCTGCTTAGTTTTTTGTCTAGAAGAGCTGTCTAAAGGAGATGGTGGGGTGTTGAAACCCCTAACAATTATAGTGTTGCACCCTATCTCTCCTTTTAGCTTCATCGGTCTTTCCTTCACATATTTAGGTGCTCCTGAGTCAGGTACATAGAAATTTATAAGCATAATATCTTCTTGGTTAATTAGCCCATTTACTACTATATAATGTTCTTCTTTGCCTCTTCTTACAGTCTTCGTCTTGAAGCCTATTTTGTCTCAAATTAGTATCACAACTCTAGCCCTTTTTTGATTTCCATTTGCATGGAATATCTTTTTCTAGCCCTTCAATTTTAGTCTATGTATGTCTTCATCCATAAGGTACATTTCTTGTAGGCAACAGATAGAGGGTTTCTGTTGTGTGGTTTTGTTTTGTTTTGTTCTGTTCTGTTTTGTTTTTTAATCTATTCAGCCAGTCTGTGTCTCTTCATTGGAGAGTTTAATCCATTAACGTTCAATGTTGTTATCGATATTTCCAGACAGGTTTCTATCATGAAGTGAGCCATTTTCTTGATTGTTTTTGGTTCTCTTATATCCTTCCATCTGACTTTTTAGTTTTCCTGGAATAGTAAGTACTTCCTTCAGAAATACTTAAAGAGCTGGTCTGGAGTTGGTAAATTCTTTCAAGTTTTGTTTACCCGAGAATGTTTTTATCTTTTTTCCCATATGAAGGATAATCTTGCCGAGTATAGTATTCTTGTTTGTAATTGCCTTTCATTTAATTCTTTGACTCTGTTTCCCCATTATTTCCTGCCTGCATTGTTTCTGATTAGAGGTCCATGTTAACTTGATAGGATAACCTTTGTAAGTAACTTGACGTTTCCCTCTTGCCAATTTTAGTATCTTGTCTTTGTCTCTCGTTTTGGCCAATCTGGCTATGATGTGCATTGGAGAGGATCTTCTTGGGGTGGTTCTATTTGGGGTCCTATGTATTTCTTGGGTCTGGATATTTGAATGCTTCTGTAGGTTTGGAATATTTTCTTCCAGGATTTTATAGAATAAATGATCAATGCCATTATTATTTTCTTCCTCTTCTGGGATACCAATTATCCAGATGTTTGGGCATATGATGGTATCTAGTATTTCTCATATATTATCTTCAATTTTTTTGGTTGTTTTCTTTCCTTTTAATATTTTTTTATAGGTGAGGTTTTATCTTCTACATTCAAGATTCAATCTTCTGTGTAATCTACTCTACTTTCAGTACTTTGAAGGAAGATTTTAATTTCCTGTATCACATTCTTCATCTCTAACTGTTCCATTTGATTATTTTTTATGGTGTCTATTTCTTCTTTCAAATCATGAAAGGATTTCCTCATCTCCTGGAGCTCGTTGTCTCTTTTCTTGCATTTCATTTGGTTTGGTCACTACAAATATTCTGAATTATTTATTTGACATTTCTATTACTTTTATTGTGTTGTCTGTGGGTGTTGCAGAATTGATGCTTTCCCTTGAAGGAGAGACATTTTGTTAGTTGCTCACATTTCTTGTGCTTCTGCTATTGTCCCTAATCATCTGGTGATCTATAGGTTCCTTCCTAAATTATTCAAAGTAGCTCCAAGGTATGCAGGAGTGGAAATTGGCAATCTCTCTTCTGCTCTGCCTCCTTGTTGCTCATCAGCACCCTGCGCTGTTGTCACTGGTCCTGGGTGACCCAAAGTCCTCCCTGTTTCTAAAGAACAGGTGCACCTGAAACTGAACTGCTGAGTTTCAGCTCAGTAACAAAGAAGAGATCTTGTGGCACCAGGCACCTGGCAACACCGATGTCCTGAGAGTTCAAAGGCAAGTGGGGGAGGGAATGAGCCACAGGTCCCAGCTATTAAGCCCTGTAGCCACAGGCATCCTGAAGTCCAGCAAGACTTGAACAGGTGTCTGGATGAGGCAGGAAGGGGTGCAAGTTTGTCTCAAAGTTCCAAGAAACAAACCTTAGAGTTCAAAGGTGAGCGGGAAGCGGATGAGCCATGGGTCCCGGCCTATTAAGCCCTATCGCCGTAGACAGCCTGACATCCAGCAAGACCCTTCACTTGAACGGGTGTCCAGATGGGGTGGGAGGGGTGCAAGTTCATCCCAAAGTCCCAAGAAACCAATTCCAGTGACTATAGTTTTTGAGAAAGCACATATCTGTTTATTGTCCTGGACTTGTCCACTTCCATTGATATGAATTCCCCAGAGCGGAGAATTTCAGAGCACAGGGCCCTGAAATTTCTCAGAAGAGCAGCAATCACAAGTGGTAGCATTCTCAGAGACTCTCCTGTGTGTTGGCATGAAGTCGAGGGGTTGCTGTTTTCTAAATTGCTCTTAGGTGTGAGTTTCCACACTTACTATGGGTATTAGCTCCCAGGTAGAGTCATTCTCTTTCCAGAGATGACCAGATTCTCCTTTTTTTTTTTGTATTCTGTGTTTTCTCCTCAGAGGAGAGAGAGCATGTTTGCCTGAAATGGGGCCTTTAGTAAATCCAAGTCTTCCTTAAGTTTACCTGGAGTTAGCAGAGATAGGAGCTAGCAAAGGCAAGGAAAGAAAGTCAGGTGGGAGGTCTGCCCATTACTCTCTATGACCAGATGTCAGCACTTCCTAACACCTTGGTAAATAACGTTTTTCTGCAAAACATTAAACTCAAATCCTACCTCTTTCAAAAGCATCATTTTTTTTCTCCTAAGGTTAGCTTTACTTGGAATGAGGGTCTTTTTCCTAAAATGTTTTATAGTGAGGCAGAGTTATAATGAAAACACAAAAGCATTTAATTCAGTTGATGAGTAATACTGGAGACTGGAAGGAGTCAGAGAGTTTCCCCGATGTCTTCCTAGAGCAATTATTATGCGTAGATGGTTTGGGAGACCTGGAAAAGAACTACTTGGGAAAGCCTGGCAGAACCTCTCCTTACAATCGCCTCTGTTTTCCACTAGTGAAGGTGGAAGGAGAGGGACTCCAAGCTCCTCTCGTGGGCTCATGGTTAGCGTGTATGGGCACTAACAGTGTGCCAGGATGGGCTTTAAGTGTCACATACATTAAATTAATCTTCAGATTACCTATTTTCTGAGCTACATGCTATTGTTATCCCCATTTACAGAGGAGGGAACCAAGGTTTAGATAAATTAATTTCCTAAGGTCCACCTGTTGGTAAGCAATAGCGCCAGTAGAAAATCTGGGTAGTCTGGCCCCAGAGCCTTTTCTCTTCACCACGTCTGACCCTCCGTTCCTGAGAAGTATTAGTCCTACTGGAGGATCTTGATAAGAAGCTTGAGGAGTCAAACATAAATAGAACATTTCTCTTCTGTAGGCTTTTTAAATATCTGATTTTCAGTAGAATTTCAGGCATAAGTAGCATTTTTCATCTCAACAAGGCCAAATTGCCTATGTAGGCTATATGGTAGCTTGACATCTTCCATATAGTGACCCCGCTTCCTGGTAGAGCAGTGCATTGTTATAGGTCGGATTCTCTGAAGCAGCTGATGAGATGCAGGTTATTTATTAAGGATTGTTTCTGAAAGGGAGTGAGTGCAGGAAGAAGCTGAACAGCATGCAGACCGGTCACGTGGTGCATGAGAAAGCTGTCTTGTGGCAGGCTGGACCAACCATCAGTATGTGGATATGAGCCATCCAGGGGAGAGGAGGTACCTTTGGGCCAGGGAGCTCTCTCCAGCTGAGGCAGAGCATGAAGGACCTGACAGCTGCGAACTCTCTCCTGAATCCTGAGGCACCCACTTCTTCCTTGAAGAAGGGTTCAAGGTGAACCTCTTTTCCATTTTGACACAATTTTATCACATATGTGAGTCTACTCAAAGACAACTATTTTCAGTAAACTCAGCCTCTTATTTGCTTGGATTCTAGGTAAAGAGATATTTACAATATCTTGTAAGTAGAAACAGATCCTCAGCTATCTGCCGTCCTTTTACTATAGCCCTAGGTAGAGGTAAAAGTATAATATTGGTAGTTTCTTTGAACTATGTGATAAAAATCAGAACTAGCATTTTTAAAGATACATGAACAATTTGTTTTACTCTCTGCATGTCGTTTAAGTAGAGCCAGTTAACTTTTTTCTGGAGGTCTAAAGGTATTTCAAACAAACAAACAAACAAAACCAGTGCAGTGATGGAAATCTCTAGTCACATTTTTCTTGCCGGTTGTCTTTAGAGAAATCTTTCAGTGATTAAGATTCCAGATTTAACTCCCTCTTCCTGCTTGTTCCATCATGAAGCCGAAGCAATCTTATAGTCACTTCTGCACGGACATTAAACTGCATCCCAGTTGACTTACATCTTGTCTACCCAAGTTGACCACAAGAGCTGTCCCTGTATAATTAGTGGATTGGTTTGTCTTTTAGGATCAATGACTGCCATGTCCCCTTGTTGCCCAAAACTGGGGACTAGCAGTCTCAGCTGCAAGATGTGTAAAACCTCTCTCTATTTCCTTTCAGGTTGGAAAGCTTATCCAAGAAGCAGCTGGAAGAAGTAATTTGAAGAGAGTAACTCTGGAACTTGGAGGGAAAAGTCCTAATATTATTTTTGCAGATGCAGATTGTAAGTCAACCACAGATCTCATGCAAGTCCAAGCACACTACCCTTCAAGACTCTCTTTGGTATCTCCACTTTTAATAGAGCACTGAAAAAGGACCTTTAAAGCAAAGGACAGTCAAGAAGGTGTCCTTATAGTTTACTGTCAGGGGAAGAGTACTTATCAATTGTCAGTTTAACAGAGTTTATTTTCCAGTGACTCACGAGCCATTTGACTCTGATAGTGTAGAATAGGGTAGAAGAGGTAAATGTTTGGTCAGTGTGTATAGTGGAAAGAGCAATGGTCTGTACCTCCAGATACCTGAAGCATGGTCTCTATCTTGATTTAAGAAATACAAAAGTTGTCACCTGTGCCTGTGACTGGAAAATAAATCCTACTTCACTAGCCCTACCAGCATTCTCTCAATTCCACACTGCCTTCTATTTAGTTATCCCAACCCTGTTCTGCTGCTCCCATGACTTTCAGTTAAGATAACACACTTGAGTTGGTTCTGTAGGAATAGCCCTACATTGAGGTGATTATCCCTTTCAATAGGACTGTACAGGGACTTAGAGCAAGAACCTAGGAAACGCCATGTCTCTAGGAAGAATGGCACTTAGTCCCTTCTGCACAGGTGTGGTCTTTCTGTTTTGAAAAGCTCTCCAGGGAATGAATTCCAAAATATCATTTAGTCATTCTTTTTCTTCTTCACATCCTGTCAGGCAGAGCTGCTTCCCCACCTTCATCACTGGACAGATGAGAAACCAGAAAGCAGATGGCTTGAATTTCAGCCTCAGTGCGGAATTTTTAGAGTTCTGCTGTAACCTTATATGAATTGTCAAGGGGATCACAGTTTTTGTACCTATTCTTCTTGAGTAGACACTCCATAGGCATGATATTGATGGCTCAATCCATTTAGTCATTAAGCAGCTAACATTTGTCAGATATACTAATATTATCTTGAAGTAGAACATGTAAGAGATGAACATTAAAGAGCTGTCATCTGCTGTTATACAACTCCATGTCAATATATAGGAAATTAATGTCTTCAAAGAAGATTCATTGCTGTTGCAGTTTAATTACTAAAATACTAATGAAAGATACATCTGGCAGGTCCTATAGGTTAGTGGTTGTAAATTAGCATTCTGTGGGCCAGATGCAGAATATAAGGTTGCATGCCTTTCTAGACATTATACCATGCTTAAAAAGCAAAAACTGCACATTTAAAATGCTGGTTTATGGTTTTTATTAAAATTGGAAAGATCTGGCATCGCTGGGCTTCTGTTCATGCATGGCACCAGCCAAATGCAGTGGTTTCCCTTCTTAGTTGCTCTGTCACATTACTTTTCCACCTGGAAGATTATACCTTTATATTATCTCCCTAGTGCTTCTTTGCATGTTGGGGGTTAAGACTCCTGTTATAGATGATGTGACCCAATCCCTCTGTTTTCACAGAATAAGAAAGAGACTCAAAGAACTGAAGTTCAAGTTCACATAGCAAGTAGTGTCAAGGTCTAGCTAAAAGTAGAACTAAGTTGTGTTTTCCCTCCTGGGCTATTCACATAATCTATGGTGAACACAACATTACAGCTGGAGCTTTGAAGTGGGGAGGGAGGTGGCTTCACAGACAGTCCCCTCCATAGGCAGAGCAGTGTTGGAAACATGGCTGTTTCTTCTTGCAGTGGACTATGCTGTGGAGCAGGCACACCAAGGGGTGTTCTTCAACCAAGGCCAGTGCTGTACCGCAGGCTCTCGTATCTTTGTGGAGGAGTCCATCTACGAAGAGTTTGTGAGAAGAAGTGTGGAACGGGCCAAGAGGCGCATAGTGGGGAGTCCCTTTGACCCCACCACAGAGCAAGGTCCCCAGGTAGGAAAATCTTGAATATTCCCTTGGTTTACTCATTCCTGGGCTAGCATAGGACCTAGATGCTGTGGTGGGAACCAACAAAGCAACATCTTCCTTTTTCCACTGCTGCCTTACTCTTCCACCTTGTCTTCACGGGTGGAAAGGTAGCCAGTGAGAATGCTTATTTCTTGTGTTTCTCTTCCCCTTTCCAAATGTTACTTCTGAAAAACATGGGATGAGGGTTGCCTTAAGGATATTTTGAAGTTTGGGAGTAAGTTGGAGCCTCTCAGCTCTAAAGAAAGCCCTGGACATGACAAGATGGATTTTGACACTGGAACCCACTGCCAGTCCTAACCACTGAACTTCAGGACATCCCTACAAGATGCCATGATCAAGGAGGGTGGGTGTCATTCCTGTTCAGAGCCATTTATTCCTTTACCAGCTGCCAAGGATTCTCTCTGCCTACCTGACCTAGTCTGGAGAGACCACCTGTAGCCTGTAGACATGTAGGAAATGAAGGGCTGGCTGACTCCCCTGTGCTGTATGGTGATCTGAATACTTCACACACTATGAGGGTGGTGAAGGCCATAAACATCCCTCCTGAGCAGTCAGGCTACACCCCTCAGCTCTCCAGGCATATTTCCAAGTGGAATTCTGGTTTTAATCTATTGACTCACAAAGGGATATCTAGACCAGCCCTCATCTGGGTCACTAGAACATAGGGTTTCCTAGTTTTCATCTCCTCAGTTTGGGAACCATTCAAGAGAAGACCGTTGTTCTAGCTGAGCAATTTATACTTGAGTGAATGTAGGTTTTTATATTATTTACTATTACAGTTGAATAATAATCGTGTTAGTTTTGGGGGGACAAGACTGGCCTTATTTTTTGAAGTAACGAGCTAGCCTTCACTTTTCACTCTCAATCTTTTCCTCCAAAGGTATAATAGAAATCCCTTTAAAAATAAAACCCAATAAGATATGGTGTGTAGCACTAGCTAAAGAGGCTGCGTGTAAATTTGTCTATTATTTTTGTCTTTTTAATATCAGTACAACATGCCAAATTATTCATTTGGTTACAGCAGTCAATTTTTTCCTCATATAAACAATGAATCATAAATTAGCCAGTGTCTCCATCATTTTGAAACATTTTCCAAATCTTCAGCTGGTACTTCTGGTTAGGCAATTCTATCAGAGCAGTACATTTATTGGCATCCTCAATATATTGGGTGGAACCATACAAAATTGCCATTTTTGGTAAGCCAAAATGGTAAATAACAGCAGTTTCACATTATTTGACAGGATATAATGAAACCCCCCAAAAAAAAAAAATTCTTGAGAGCATGCTTGTTTTCTTCCTTTTTCATAGAAGGTTTACTTGGAGTCATTAGATCATTTCTCCTGTAGATTGATAAGAAACAGTACAACAAGATCCTAGAACTCATCCAGAGTGGTGTGGCTGAGGGGGCCAAGCTGGAGTGTGGAGGCAAAGGACTGGGCCGGAAGGGATTTTTCATTGAGCCCACGGTATTTTCCAACGTCACTGATGACATGCGGATTGCCAAGGAGGAGGTATCAAATATGATATTCTTAACAAAAGTTACATACTTCTTGGGATAGTTCTAGAGCATTTCTAGTAGACAGTATCAGAGTTTTAGCCCTTTGCATGATATGTATATTCATTTTGCAATAGCACTAAATAAGGCTATAAAAATCCCATGTTCAAGAAAAAAGTTAAACTAGAGGACAATCAAGGTGGATAGAGAGAAGTCAGGTGACATGCTACCTGACTGTGATTATTATCAACTGACAAAACAGTCATAATTGCTGGTCACTGACCTCAGTAATACACTGGCCAAATATGGGTCACTAGGCTGTCCATTGGGAAAGGGAGGACATCCAAGCATCCTTGTGTCTGTGCAGGAGAGGGCCAGGAGTGGGCCAGCCAGAAATGCAGAGCAGTCGTTCTCAGCTCTGGAGCAGTGTTGGGAGGTCATGGAGATGGCCACTTCCTCTGTACCTGAAGGTCACACCCCTAGTACACACAGTAAGATCAGATGATGCCAAGGCAGTTGGGAGAGTGAGAGTGAGACCTAAGATCTAAAGTTAGACTCTTAGATAATCTCATTCTGGGAAAGTTTTGGATATTTCATAGTTTTGTGGTGTGGAACTTGAGTACCATTTAAATCATCAAGGCAGAGTAAACTTTCTCTGAAGTGTGGAAAGCAGGTAAAGGAATGGCCAAGCAACCATGTTGAGTCAGAGTATTTTGTTGCAGATCTTTGGCCCCGTTCAGGAAATTCTGAGGTTTAAGACAATGGATGAAGTTATCGAAAGAGCCAATAACTCAGACTTTGGACTCGTAGCAGCTGTCTTTACTAATGACATCAACAAGGCCCTCACAGTGTCTTCTGCAATGCAAGCTGGGACTGTTTGGTAAGATAAGAGTGGGTTTTTGTTGTTCTGGTCATGATGAATTTTATTGGTGGTAAAGTGGTCTTATGGTTGTCAAGAGCCAGGGTGAAATAAGCAAATATCCTCTGAAAGGATGGAGAAAACAGAGGCAACCAGACTGTACCCTAAGAAGGATACACTCCTTACTGGCTATATTGGGAAATCTTAAATAAATTTTGAATTATACATTTTTCATATGGGGGAAAAAGGGAGATAAAAATGAATTTTTTTTAAATAAATATTATGTCAGTTGGATTACTTTGGTGTAAGCAGAATCCATACTAACCCACAATACTTTTTTTTTCCATCTTCTTTCAGGATCAATTGTTACAATGCATTAAATGCTCAGAGCCCTTTTGGTGGATTCAAGATGTCTGGAAATGGGAGAGAAATGTAAGTGTCAAAGCTGATACCTGCAGAAGAAGAAGGATCACAAATACCAGCACAGACGACAGCTCACAAAATAGTTTAATTCTGGTACACCCTCTCACTCATTAAACAAACTTTCTGTTGAGCACATACTACAACCTAAGAACTACTTGTTACAAAGATGAGTAAGAAATAGTTCCCTAAGTGGGAACATATAAAATTTAATGTACCACTAATTCCATGATAAGGGCTATTATAGAAGTCAAATATCTTGTGTATTCAGAGGAGAAATTAATTTTTCCAGAATAAATAACATTTCAGTTTTTTAGAAGCAGGCATTCCAGGCTGAGGGGATGACAGTAAAAAAGCATGAAGGCGGGACCAGCAGTTAGCATAATGGCTATGTCGCTGGACTCCTACGTAGTAGACTGCGGTTCGCGTCCCGGACCCGGTGGCTTAAAACTCACGCCGGGAGCGTGTGCGCGCGTGCCCAAGATCCCGAGAGGAGAATGGAGGAGAAGGGATTGCGGCGTGGCCATCCCCCCTGGGGGTGATTTCTCGCTTTCTGTCTCTCTATCTCTCTCTGTCTGGCGAGCACACACGCCCTATAGCAAAAAGCTCTCCAAAAAAAAAAAAAAAAAGCATGAAGGCACAAAAATAAAGAACACCCAGAGAACAGGAGTTCGGTGTGCTTAAAACGAAGGTCACCAAATACCTTAGGGACAAATATGGCTTCATAAATACTTTGTTTTGTCTTAATAACATTGGAAAATTTTTAACTGACATTAGACAATGAAGAGGCTTTACATAAAATCTAGCTTTCTTACTTAATTTCATTTCCCCATAGCGAAATCGCCCGAGCAGTGAGAACTGCCTTTTGGCACATTTCCCACCACTGCTATTCTTCTGGGACTGACGTTGGTTGCCATTTATTTCACATCCATCCAGTTCACTCACTTACGTTACCTGCTCCACCCCTGTAGGTTTTTTGAACTTGAAAGCCAAACGCTCCTCAAAAAAAAAAAAAAAAAAAGCATGAAGGCACAAAAATAAAGAACACCCAGAGAACAGGAGTTCGGTGTGCTTAAAACGAAGGTCACCAAATACCTTAGGGACAAATATGGCTTCATAAATACTTTGTTTTGTCTTAATAACATTGGAAAATTTTTAACTGACATTAGACAATGAAGAGGCTTTACATAAAATCTAGCTTTCTTACTTAATTTCATTTCCCCATAGCGAAATCGCCCGAGCAGTGAGAACTGCCTTTTGGCACATTTCCCACCACTGCTATTCTTCTGGGACTGACGTTGGTTGCCATTTATTTCACATCCATCCAGTTCACTCACTTACGTTACCTGCTCCACCCCTGTAGGTTTTTTGAACTTGAGACTGGAAGGCTAGGGCATAGGATCTGTGGAGGGGACTTGTTAAAGATACAAGTGGAAAGGTTGGTTTAAGTAACATCTCAAAGAGCTTTAAAGGAAATTCCCTTTTTGTAGAGGATATACCAGAGTTTTTGAAACCAAGATTCCTGGCATATGGAGGATGTCTTAGCAAAGACTAGAAGAAGACCTGTTAGAAGGATTTTGCAATAACAATAATTGTTGTCTTAGTCTGTTTGGGTTACTAAAACAAAATACCTTAGATTGGGTAATTTATATAAAATAGAACTTTTTTTTAAAAAAAGTTATTTATTTAATTTAATTAATTTATTTATTTTAATTTGACCAGAAAAATACATAGAGAGAGAGAGGGAGGGAAAGTGAGAAAGCAAGCCACCAGGTTCGGGACTCCAACCAGGGCTGACCATGTGAGAATGTCCAACACCTTAATCATCATGCCACCTGCTGGTCCCCTAAACATTAGAACTTTAATGTCCACAAATCTGGAGTCTGAGAAATCTAAGATTCAGGCGTTGGCTGATTTGGTGTCTGGTGAGGGCCTGTGCCTCGTAGCTGGTGTCTTCTGTGCTCTCACGTGATACAGGGACAAGGGAGCTCACTTGAGCCTCTTTAGTAATGGCACTACTCCAGTTTTTGAGGGTGGAACCTTCTTGCCTTAATCACTTTCCAAAGTGCCTCTTAATACTACCATATTGAGTTAATAACACAGGAAAACAGACATAGCAGTTGTCATTAACTAAATGCTTTCTAATTATCTGGCTTTATGCTGACTTCTTTCTTAATGTTGTCTCATTTGGCACAGTAAATCTATGGGATAGATTGACTTATCTTCACATTACATAGGGTCCAAAAAATGACCTAGGGGTTAGAGTAGTTAAGTAGTTTGCCCAAGTTGCTGGCCAATGAATGGCCAATCTGAGATTTGAACCTAGGTCTCAATGGCTCCAAATGCACTTAACTACCATGGTATCTTACCAAGGAAGTGTGAGGGCCAAGTACATGGGCTCCTCATGGACAGGATAAGAGACAGAGTCCTCCTGAGATGATAAGGACCTAGAGAAATAGGACTATTTCAGAGAGAAATTAGACTCAAGAGGGATTTTATTTGCAGACTTGAATATATATATGGATTTTTTTGAATGGTATTCAGAGGATGAATGATAACTAGGTTTTCTGAGCTGATTTAAGCCCCACCCTAATCCAGAGAAAACTCACTAAACTTCAATATATATATGGATTTTTTTTAATGGTATTCAGTGGATGAATGGTAACTAGTCTTTCTGAGCTGATTCAAGCCCCACCCTAATCCAGAGAAAACTCACTTTCCTCACTTTGAAAGGAGATGATCCGTATTTTATAAATCCTGTATTCAGAGAAGAAGCATGTTCCATTTCCATTCTCTGCTATTGCTGAATGAATACTTTTCTGAGCAAATGCTTAGTTCACAATCAATCTACTGACAAGAACAGAGCATGAACCAGATACAGGACGTTGAGTTTGGTCTGCAGGTGAAGATAAAAGTCATTAGAACACTTAGCATGTCGTTGAATAAATGAAATGTATAACATTGAAAGAACTTCAAACAATTCCAGAAAAGGTCGTAATGTGATAGAGGCATTCACAGGGATAGAGGTAATTACTGTGAGTTGGAGAAGCCTGGGAAGCCTTTAGGTATGATCTGGTACAGGAATTTGATTGGCCTTTCCAAGGGAGGAACACTTGGGTAAATGGAGAAAGGTATTTTTCCCACCAGTTTGGTGGGCAATGAAAAGTAGCAATGAGACAAAAAATGAGTAAAGGCATTGTTGGAGAAGTATGGCGATTGGGAGGAAAGTCTAGTGAATTCATAGGATTAGAGCAGAGGATCTGTGTACTGCAGATAGTTTAGCTGGCAATTTCTAGTCTCCCACAATGAAACTCTAAAGTAGGGATAGCTTTGAGGCTAAAAGCAGTTTCTAGAATCAAACTACTCGGATTTGAATCCTGCCTCTACCCCTTATTGCCTGTGCAACCACAGACAAATTACTTAATGTAACTAAGCTTCAATTTCCTTATCTATGCATTAGGAATAATTATAGGCCTACCTCAGGGTTACCATGAGGATTAAGTGTTGGGACTAGTATGAAAACATCCAGCACATTGTCTGGCAAGCCTTCCGAAAACGTTAGCTGCTGTCATCATTACTGTTCAAGTGAATGCATATTACATAGAGGATCCTCCTTCTTAACCAACCAGTGACTTTGGAAGTATGGCAGAACTTTTCCTTAATGCCAGCTATTATCACCAGCTTATATTCTGTCTCTGGCAATGCCAGGGAGAAGATACTCTCGCCTGAACCTTTGCTTCTGGCCCCCTGTTCCCTCACTGAATAACAGCCAGAATTCATATCCAATTCAGATGCTGTTTGTACAGTTATTAGCGTTTCTCAGTGTTCATAAAGTCTTCATGGACTCTAGGTAGCTCTTCTTTGCTTGCACATAGTTTTCACTCTCTGCTTCCACTCTTCAAGATGCATTCCACTTGTTATTTCATTTCCTATCTGTCTGTGCTCTGTCCTCTCTGTCTGTGTCCCTGAGATGCCAGTCACTGACTCTGGGAACGCTGTTTGCAGTGACTGTTTTGTTATAGATCACTCCAGAGTGAATCACCAGCATAAAGTATACTAGTAATAAATCATCACTGCTGGGTGGAGCTTAATCTCAGGCCAGCCCTGGTCCCTCATTGAGGGCAGGCCTCATGCCAGGATCAGGTTGGTGATATTCTCCAGATCTGGTCTATTTCTATCAGAAATGTTCCCTTTGCATAGAAAGCTAGCCCAGGAGACAGTCTGGCTGCATCAGAACCACACGTAACAGAGGCCTGAGAGACCAAAGAATAGCTTCTCTCTACTCTTCCCAATACAGTTGGGAAGATTCAAAATAATCAGGGGGTGGGACTAGCAGATGACATAATGTTGCTGGACTCCCATGTAGTCAACTGTGGTTCAATTCCCAGACCTGGTGGCTTAAAACTCACACCAGGCATATGTGCATGCATGCCCCAAGTCCCTGAGAGAATGGAGGAGAAAGGGTTGCTGTGTGGCCATCCCCACCAGGAGGTGATTTTTTGCTTTCTGTCTCTCTCTGTCTCTTTGGTGAGCACACATGCCCTATAACAAAAATCTCCCTCAAAGAAAGAAAGAAAAGAATAATCAGGGGATGGTGCTCTTTGATGAGATCTTATCTAAATTATTCAGTTCTTTTTATTAAAAAAAAATAAAGCCACATGGTTTTTTGTTTCTACTTATCCCCAAACATGTTTTCCTTAAATGAACTAGAGTGGTAGGAAATACTTCGAATAGAAGAACCTGCTGTCCTGGGCCCCCACTCTTCCTCCTCATTTGATAAATCCCCAGAAATTCCACTTAATCTCCCTCTGGGCAGACTTGCTTATCCCCTGGCTTTGCCCCCTAGCACTGCCTACCCACTCCCAAGAGGAGCAGGGCAGGGAAGTCACACTTCCAGAAAGGAATTCCAAGAAGGAGTCCCCCTCCTCTCCCCCTCCTCTCCCCTTCCCCCTCCTGTCCCCGTCCTCCCCTCCCCCACTGCCCTCTACAGGTTGTGTGATGGGCTGCCCTGT